TGTTTGTGTATAAGTGTACGTGTGTGTGTGTGTGTGTGTGTGTGTGTGGCTAGTGCAGGCTGTTGGTTCTCTTCTTCACTAGCCTGGTGTTGGGTGCAGCTTTAGCAGCTGAGGTGCCAGTCATCTTCCTGTGCACACATTCGCTGAACCAGCTCACAGAGACACTGTGGGTAGCTCCAAAGTCCCATCCATCTGCTCTGGTGCACCTCGTGCTTCTGCTTTGCTCTCGCTGAGGTGTGTGCACACCACAGGCATGCACAGTGTCACTGCAGGCTGCAGTGCTGAGCATCCTCAACTGCATCTGTTCATTACACTGTCAGTCACTGGGACACGGGGATAAAACACACGGGCACAGGAATGCTTTTTTTTAAATGAATTTTTTTAAGAAACTGCATACATCAGAGACAAACAATAATTTAAATACCATGCAGTTTCAGTATGTACAAAAACTAGGACATAGAGATCCAGTTTAATTTTTTTTCTAGTTATTTACATCATTTTCATACAGCCATAATCTGTTAAATTACAATACTGGAAGAGCACATGATTGACAGCCACCACACTCACTCCTATACAAAGACAAACTATATACATACACTTGGATATCAACTGGAAAATGCAACTGGTGCAGGAGTAATTGGGACACATGGGAACGCAGGTAGTGTGCCCATCACCTCCTCTTTGTTTACAGAAGTTGTTCCAAGGTCGAGCAGACTGAACACCTGGGAAAAATATTTCGTCCCCTTTTTCTTTCCTGATATTTTATTAGCCTAGTCATCTCCCATGGCTATTTATACAAAGTGGTTTTATTTGCAGGCACATTAGGGAGCCCCTGTTCGCATATAACTATGGGTTTCCATCTTGCCATCTCTTTTTAGGAGTGCAAGCTTTCCCTAGGCATGCTGGAAGTGCTCCCCTCTGTTGGTTTATGGTGTTTCCACTGTACAGACGACACTGTAGAAAGAATGAAGGGTGAGTTTGGTGACCGGTTGCAGCGATGACAAAGTGCTGTGGTTAGGTGTAAGCCTTAAGCTGAAATATATTTGTGTAGTGGGCTCCCTAAATAGTTTCAGTTAACATAAAATAATTGAAAGTCTGTTATATTCCCCCCCTCCCCGCCCCGTCCTTTCTCTTCTTCAGCTTGCAAGTACCCAGCCAGCGGGGAAAGGCCATAAGGCTGCCCTTCCCTGTCTGTCATAACTACGTCTCCAAGTCCCCATCACCCGCTGCTAGACAGGGGGTGGGTGGGAGGGCACCACTATCATCATGTTTCCTCACCATCGCTTCTTTTTCTTTCAATCAAACCTTTTATGTAGACATCTTGGAGTTGTTTTTTTCCGATCCCTGCCACCTCTGCAGTTCCCCCCCGCCCCCATTTTCCACCTCACCTTTCCATAGGCTGTAGAACAGATGTCACAATACTTGCACATTTTAAGTATGTGCAAGTACTAAGCCCATCAGGATTCGGCAGTTTATAACCAAAATGTTTTTGGTTTGTTTTTTTTTTTTTTCCTTGACTCTAGAATACTAATCTCCATTATCAGCCCTGAAGATGGATGGTTGGAATAGCCATTTTTGTTCTGCGTTGATTTATTCCATTCTCTAAACCTGATGTCATTTCTTGATTACTACTATTAATCTCCTCCTAATATGAATGAGGATGACTGGTGTTAACTGGAATGTTAA